ACCCAAAAAAAAAAAAAAAAAAAATGAGCAAGCCAGGCATGGTCGCTCACTCCTGTAATTCCAGCACTCTGGGAGGTAGAGGTGAGAGGATTGCCTGAGCCCACAGGTTCAAGACCAGCCTGGGCAATATGGCAAGACCTGGTCTCTACAATAAATCAAAAAAATTAGCTGGGCGTGGTGGCACACGTCTGCAGTTCCAGCTACCTTGGAAGGCTGAGGCAGAAGGATCTCCTGAGCCCCACTGATCAAGGCTGCAACAGTCGTGAGCATGCCACTGCACTCCAGCCTAGAAAACAGAGTGAGACTCCAACCCAAAAAACAGAAAGAGAAAAGAGCAGATACCAGCCTAGACATATCCTCTGTTTCAAGGTTAATTAAATATGTAGCACTTTAAAACTAGGGTAAAACATGAGATCCGACACCAGGGTGAACGGCAGGAGGCTCCTCCTCTCCCACAGTAGGCAAGGCGCCAGCACAGCACAGTCTTCTAGTACTTCCACCCCCAGTACTGAACCCACCTACCTGTTAAGACACCCGGACCTTGGACTTTGACCGTCTCCTTGTCCTGCTCGTCTGCCTGCTCTGAGTTCTCAACCACCTGGTCCAATTCCTCACTCAGCTAAAAGGAGAAGCAAAAGGGACAAACAGGTCAGCTGTATCAGCCCTGCTTCTCTAGACTAGAATAAGAAAGCAGAAGTTGCTTCTCACTTGACTGTCACACACACAAAAAACCACATGATGCAGGGTGCTACTACAGCAATGCTACAGATGAGGACACTGAAGCTCAGAAAACTCAAGGAACTTTCTGTCTCTTAGTTTTCCAGGACTACTATAACGAAGTACTACAAACTAAGTGGCTTAAAACAATGGAAGTATCTTCTCTTCAGTTCTTTTTGGGCTAGAAGTCTGAAATCAAGGTGATGGTAGGGTTGGTTCCTTCTGAGAATGGTGAGAGAGAAACTGTTCCACACCTTTCTCCTAGCTTCTGGTGAATCCTTGGCTTGTAGATGCATTCAACCTCCAACCTCTGCCTCTACCTTCCTCTAGGCATGCTCCCTGTGTCTGTGTCTTCACATGGTTGTCTTCTTTAAAAAGCACAGTGGCTCAGCCTGTAATCCCAGCACTTTGGGAGGATTGCCTGAGCCTGGGGATTCAAGACCAGCCTGGGCAACTTGGTGAGACTTTGTCTCTACAATAAATCACAAAAACTAGCTGGGCGTGGTAGCGTGCATCTGAAGTTCCAGCTACTTGGAAGGCTGAGGCTGAAGGATCACCTAAGTCCAGCAGGTCGAGGCTGTGGTGGCTGTGAGTATGCCACTGCACTCCAGCCTCCAGCCTGGGCGACAAGAGTGAGACTCCAACTCAAAAAATAATAATAATAATTTAAACATAAAAACACCAGACATGTTGGATTAGGGGCTCACACTACTCCAGTAGGATCTCATGCTAACTAATTACACCTGCAGTGATCCTATTTCCAAACAAGATTACAATCTGAAATACTGGGGGTTTGGACTTAACATATCTATTCTTGGGAAACAGTTCAACCCATGTTTTCCATGGCCATACAGTCAGTGAAATATAGAGCCAGGAGTCAAATCTGAATTGGTATAGTTCCAAAACCCACAGTCTTAGCCACTTCCCAAAGGAAGAGGAAATGCAGTTTAGATAGAGTCTGCTGAGAAAGAACAGGGAACAGTGAAGTTGGTATCAGAGCTTTCTGGCACTCTGGCTAAAGTCCACCAACTTGGGCTCAAATGGCAGAACAAAGCAGGGAGGGCTGCCCATCCCCAAAACAGATGCTAATGAACAGCCTGTATCAGGCAAACTCAACCTTACTTCATCAGTGTTCGCGCCTGTCAAATGGGGAAAATTATGCCACTGAGAAGGGTAGAAGGGCAGAAAGAATACCATGATTATCAACAAGTCTCCTTAGGATTAGGGAGGAGGCAGGAGAAGTCAAGACCAGAGTTTAGAGAAGCCATCAGTGAACTGCAAGAGAGGGAGAGGGGACAGCTTTCCCAGATGTTTTCTTAAGCTCACAGTGTCATCACTTAAGGTTTCAAGGTATTTTCTTTAAGAAATCACCTCCAAGAGGACTGAGTTAAAGAAATAGTTCTTCTGCATCTATTATTGTTGCATCTACCTCTACTCCTGTTCCTTAGAATCAGGCATTTAAATCCCACTTCAAGCCCTCCAAGCACAAAAGAGAAGAAAAACAACTGGTGGGAGAGCGTGGGGAGGCTGGAGAGGACACCAAGATATACAGGCCACTAGTGGGAGCACAGATAAAGAGGGCGTCAGAGGTCTCACTGGCCAAAGGGAGAGAAAGATATTGTCCTGGGAAGGCTCCAAGCCTCACTCAGGTTTACCCTGACCCAGGTGGCAACACCCTCCCACCCAGTACCCTTCCTGACTACCTGCAGCCATAATGAGCCCACCTCCCTGCCTTATTTCAGCCAAATTTTCAGTATATCTCATCCCCCAAAGCTAAAACCTTTTCTCAGCAAAGAAACCTAACTCGCGCTAGATACACTCTCAGAATGATCCCAGCAAGAAAGATACAGGCTATTCTCTAGGTGAGAAGATGAGAGACAGGGACTTCAAATAAGACTCCCTTCCAGTGCCTTCCACCATGGGTGTGCCCTCAAAGAGCAACTGTCTGCACCCCTAGCCTTGCCCCTGCAAGTTGGGTAACCTATATTTTCACAAACGTTTTGTGAGCCCTGTTAAATGTGGCGATACTGCTGCCTATGTATGGATGATAAGGAATACAGTCCTGTTAAGCCAGGACCCGAAAGTGCCCTAGAAGCACAAGTTGCCCACACCCTGTTAACAAGAGCTATCACTCACCAAGTGGTCACTATCTGCCAGGCAATGAGCTAAGCACTTTCCATATACCAACTCATCTAATCCTTACAAAAACCCTAGGAGGGCCGGGCTCGGTGGCTCAGCCTGTAATCCCGAGCCTTTGGGAGGCTGAGGTGAGTGGATTGCCTGAGCCCGTGGGTTCGAGAACCGCCTGGGCACGCGAAACCTCATCTCTACAATAAATTAAAAAAAAATTAGCCAGGCGTGGTAGCGTGCGCCTGTAGTTCCAGCTCCTTGGAAGGCTGAGGCGGAAGGATCGCCGGAGCCCAGCAGATCAAGGCTGCGGTGGCCGGAAGCGGCCACTGCACTCCAGTCTGGGCGACAGAGTGAGACTCCGACTCAAAAAAAAAAAACCCTAGGAGGTAGGGATGATCATTGCCTTCGTTTCTCAGATGAAGAAACTGAGGCTCAGAAAGTTAAGTGACTTGGCAAAAATCACACAAATGGCAAGAGGCACAGCCAGGACAGGAACATGGGTTTTTTTACTTGAAAGCCCTACTATTTACCCACTGTGCTCTACTTCCTATAGGTCTGAAAACTTTCAGACACATCTCATTCTCCAGGATTCTGTGTCTAGGGCACAGAAACTAGGGGCCATGGAATCCACAGCACTGGTTAAAATCCACCAGGCTCCTTTTAGATAAAAGACACAGATGGAGAAAGGGGATGGGAGGATATGTACAAAAACTTGTCCAAGGCCAGATTCCAGCCACAATCTTGCATTAAAAAATGGCAAGCCTTAGGCAAATCTCATCTGCCTTCAACCTGGCTTTCCCCTCTACTGTGGGGCTAAGCCATCGGCTTTATATACTCCACAAAGTCTTTTTGTGAATCATCATTTACAAAGGGAGAGACATACATCAAAAACTGATTAAGACAGAAAGTGGCAAGTTCATATGATAAGGACAGGCACAATGTCCTTTCAAGACAGACTGGTCTCAAAAGTCAGCCCCCACAGAGCATGAGGTACTTGAGGTGACCTTTGTCTAAGAGATATTTTATCCAATGGAGCTTAGGAGAGGGTGAAAGAAGAAGAAATGGTGTAAGTACGAGCATAGAGGCAGGAGCACATTTTTTTTTTTTTTTTGAGTCAGAGTCTCACTCTGTCACCCAGGCTGGAATGCAGTGGCACACTCATGGCCACCACAGCCTCGACCTGCTGGGCTCAGGTCAGGTGATCCTTTCACCTCACTGACCAGGAGCACATTTTAAAATAGTGAGATTCGGGCCAGGCGCGGTGGCTCAAGCCTGTAATCCTAGTACTTTCGGAGGCCGAGGCAAGAGGATTACCTGAGCCCAGGGGGCAACTTGGTGAGACCTCATCTCTACAATAAATCAAAAACTAAGCCAGGTGTGGTAGCATTCACCTTTAGTTCCAGCTACTTGGAAGGTTGAAGCAGAAGGACCGCCTGAGCCCAGCAGGCAGAGGCTGCGGTGGCCATGAGTATGCCACTGCACTCCAGCCTGGGCAACAGAGTGAGATTCCAACTGAAAAAAAATTAAAATATGCTGGGCTCGGTGGCTCAGCCTGTAATCCTGCGCCTTTGGGAGGCTGAGGTGAGTGGATTGCCTGAGCCCGCAGGTTCGAGACCCGCCTGGGCAGTGAGACCTCATCTCTAC